AGGAAAAGGAGTCTTCCACGACCCGCTGCCTTCAGGTGTACTACAACATGAGTGAAATGAATGTGAAATGTGTGTGAAATGTGTGAAGCATACTACCAATGAATAATGAGTACTAAACCTGGATATGAGTACTCTAACACTTAATTGCATAACCATGCTCCCAAGGCCCACCTTTGAGCAGCGTCATCTAGTTCCGTGCGGGTCGCGTAAGACAACTCCGGAGGCGGCGCAAGGGAATGAGTTTCAGCTGACGGAGTGGTTGACGGAGGCAAAGTTGAAGCAGTTTGTTGAGTTGGGTTGATCTCAGAAGTTGTGTCAGAAATTGCAGCCGAAAGAAGGAGGGGGTTGATGTGGCTAAGACTGTCAGACATATTATCCAGGTGTTGTTTGAAGTTGAGTGATGATGAAGGGTTCGACAAGAAAAACAGAGATGTTGGTGGTGAAGAGATTCAAAAAAGAATATTTTTGAAGGTTTTCTAGAAGAAATCGGTTGAGAAACGCCTGAGTTATTCAGAGATGGGCTTTGACTCCTACTAGCGATAGAGTGATGATTTAAAAAAAACAAGAGGTCTGTCAAGAAAAACAGAGACTGTGGCGGTCAAGAGAATCAAGAGAGAAGATGATTGGTGCTTTTATTGAAGAAAATGGTTGAGAAATGGCTGAGTTATTCAGATTTGAAGTTTAAGACCTACTAGAGTTGAAGTGATGATTTTAAAAACAACGAGAGGTCCAACGGCAAAAACGGGGATGGTGGCGGGCAAGAGGATCAAGAGAGAAGATGATTGATGGTTTTCTTGAAGAATTTGGTTGAGAAACGCCTGAGTTATTCAGAGTTGAAGTTTGAGGCCTAACAATGCATTTTAAAAAAAAAAGATGTATCAGCAAAATTGAAGATTGTGGCGGTAAATAGCATAAAAATTGGGTGCTTTTGGTATTTTTTTTGTGAATTTTGGCTGAGAAATGGCCAAGTTGTGATTTTTTGAAGTTTAGAGTGTACCTGCAAGTTGGGAGTGAACCTGTGGTGAATCGAAAAAATCCGAGTCCGTGGCGTCGAAGAGGAGAAAAATTGAATGATTCTGGTATTTTTTTTGTCAATTTTGGTTGAGTTTTGACCGAGTTGTGGTGTGTTGAAGGTTTAGAGAGGGGGTGATGTCCTTTTTTGATTGTGGTGAGTGGTTTTGCCTGCAGGAAAATTTTCAAAGTTCATGCAGGCACTTGTGGTATGCGCACGCGCCCCCTGGAGGCGAATTTATGCATAATTAATAAAACCGCATCTAAACGCGGAAACCGCGTGTGCTGCGGCGCATCAAAACCGCGTCAAAACACGGGAAAACCACGTTTTTTTATTAATGCCCTTTTTTATTTATAAGATAAACATGCCTTTGAATGAAATTGAGAATCTGGAGGAAATGTTCACTTGTTACTTCAAGTTCCAAACTTGACTTCCTGGTGATGTTTAAAAAAAGCACATTGTATATGATTGATAGGGGGGTTCCTGATAGCTTCTTGCGATAAGCAAATTCTTCTTGTGCAAGAAACCACAGCATTGCTGCAAACTTAAAACTTAGTGTGAAAGCTTAAGAGAAACTTGATTTCAGCCATGCGCGAGCAAGAAAAAAAAATAGCAGGTTCGAGAAGCAAAAAACACTATTGTGAACCCTGCTAATATGTGTATTTGAAGTCTGGATGTTGGTCACCCAAATGGTCCCAAGATTGTGCAGATAACAACTCTTCCTTTGTATTACCCTTTTCCTGAGTTTCACAGTCCTCTGAAGTATGAATAGTGAGATTTTCAAGTATCTTGTTTCTCTTGTTGTTTTTTGCTTTTTGAGCATGCCTAAGCCAGAGTGTGTTAAGGATACCAATAAATATGAGAATCACCCCACTGTCAAAGAAAATATTTTATAAACATATGATCAGGGGTTTCTCTTAAAAATTGCACATTGAGCATGCCTAAGCTGTGTGTCTTGGGTTCAGAGACGTCTTGAAAAAAAATGGGCTGTATTGAACTCACAATGCTAAACTCAAGCCGGTTGGGAGATGATACCTTGGCAGGTGTCCAAGAACAAAAACCTAAAGCACAAGTGAAGATTAAAATAATGATCATGTAGCAAAACAAGCGGATTAGTTTCTACAGCGCATGGAAACAACTCCATAAACACAAACAAAAAACAATTCACCCAGACGCTGAGTAATGAACCGATGGATCCCGCCATAGAACCTAGGCCAATTGTGCTTGCTGTCCGCTTGTAGGGCTCGCTGTTGTTACTTGCCCAAGCTGATAGAGTGGGCATCACGGCATATGCACCGGGTGAAGAGATGAACAAGGAACCATACCGCACTCGATAGTCACTCGAAGCGTAAAAGATTGCAAAGCCCAGAGCTGAAAGTGCTGCACAGAAGACAGTCGTCATCCCTCGAATTTGATAGCGATCTGATAAATATGAAACACCCAAGACGGTAAGAAATGCTAAACTCAAGGGTGGGACTAGCATTGTTGGTTTTTTTCCAAAGTGTTATCATCATGAAAAATGAACGTCAAAATTCAATCAAATTTGCATCAGTAAGTCAGAAAGTGATTTCATACCCGAATAAAGTTGAGTGGCTGTTGGGGAGTAACCAAACTATTGGGTAATTGAGCATGCATGTCAGCCAGGATTGACTGAACAGGTTTGCTAGATGGACACTGACTGAGTGAATAACTAAGAAAGTTAAATGAATTTTGTTTAATAAAAACTGATGCCAACAAATCATATATAAGGAAGAAATGAAAGGCAAGCAAAAAGGTAGCACTCACTTGTAGGTGTAAAATAAGCCAGACTGGAGATGTTGTTTGCAGATGCAAACTGGGCAGCACTCAGCATGATAACATGTGGGCTTTTGAAAGCTTCCCAGACCTGTTGGCTTGTGGACTTGGCGGGAAACCGTTCAGTCAAGGTTGTTGAGGAAACGGTATTGGAGCCATTGTTTCTTTCAAACCTTGCAATAAGGATTCTGAACGTGATTAGAAAGTGGCATGTCAGAGCAATCATGCAATTTTATCTGTGGAAAAGGACCAAGATTGATGGTGTTACGTTTTCTCTTCATCTGTTAAGAACTTTGTTTTCTTTATACTCGATGGCAAGAAGAGGAGGGTGATTATACCAAAGATTGTTGTAACAATACCTTCAATCTACATTCAATTAACATTGAAGATTTAATTCAAGGAACATCAGTTTGACCTCAATCAAAAAAAAGTTCAAGCAGTTTTCCAGCTCCCTCAAATGAATGATCAAGAAAGAAAGGAATACGTGCCATGAAAACCCAACTCCAACCAGGATGTCCCCAACGCCCATGCAGCTTGACGATTGCATATGTCAACAATCCTGAAACCACTCCAGATAAACACATGGTGCTGAAAAATAAGCCAATTCAAACTTGCAGCTCGGCCCTACAAATTCATGGATTTTCTTAATAAAACGAGACAACGCAAGTCTCAAGATCACCCATTGGACAAACACCAATATTTGACACGAACTTGTTATAAAACATCGACAGATAAAGAATGAGTCCTGGATAGAGGCCACCTTTGAACAAACGATGGGGCAATCCTTAAGCAAGGAGCTACCTGAATCGTTTCTTTGATTCGACTCACCCTCAACCAAGCCCAAAAAGAATCTAAGACCAGATACCTGAAAATGATGTATACAAGCATTAGCATTGCCTTGTTGGGTTTCCTCTTGAAGTTTGTTCTTATCATTCAATGGAGTCTTTTGACTGACCTAGCTACGAGTAATCCTCGATACCTGATCAGAAAACAAATCATTACCCGTCAAATTGTGGGCGTGCAACAAAATTCCACAGGGAAATCATGACTGAAAGTTTGAACCTCAAACTAAGCCAACACTGACGTTTTGACAAAACCGTGCAAAAAGGTTACCACTCCCCATATGATGACCGTCAAAGGAATTTGTATTCCGGCACCAACTCTGCGCATCTTTCATTCGTCAATAGACCAGCAATCGACATTGAATAAAATAAAATTCAGGGAGTCATGTATATTAGACAGTAAAGTCTTTTACGGTGATAGAGCAACGTTAGGCACAAGCTAATACGAGCGGTGACAACGGAGCGATGAGGCAAACCTTTTACGGTGATAGAGCAACGTTAGGCACAAGCTAATACGAGCGGTGACAACGGAGCGATGAGGCAAACCTAAACCAGACAGGTTGAGGCAAAGCGAACGGTGTGAGTAGTGAACAAGTTGAGATGGTTGAATTACTAGTGCTGGCACACCTTTTACGGTGATAGAGCAACGTTAGGCACAAGCTAATACGAGCGGTGACAACGGAGCGATGAGGCAAACCTGAGACCAAAACACTAGAGATGAGATCAATGAAACTTGAGAGAAAGAAAGAGAGAGAAACAGAAAAACGGACCTAAACCAGACAGGTTGAGGCAAAGCGAACGGTGTGAGTAGTGAACAAGTTGAGATGGTTAGAGAACCGATACAAGAGAAGCTAACTATCGGTATTATAACAGGATCAACTAGGTTTACTGCGCAACAGCCGCGAGCTAAATGTTGTCTATCTAACTAGGTTTAATATGCAATAAACGAGAAAGAAAAGACAATATGAATAAAGTGAAACCTGGAAGTTCAACATCCCCCCTCCTTTTTTAGCTTTCTACCTCTGAAATTTTCATCTTGAGAAAGTTAATCATGTTCTGGTGCTTCGATTTGGCGAGTGACTTGGTGAGACCGTCGGCAGGCATGTCGTTTGTCGAGACGTACTTGATATCAACCCAGTTCTTTTCAGCCGCCTCCCGGATGAAATGATACTTGACACCGATATGCTTCGTCCGATGATTGGCGAGTGGATTCTTGGATAGAGCAATTGAAGCTTGGTTGTCGCAGAAGACCGAGATTGGAAAGATGGAAGTACCTGTGATCGATTGAACTAGATCGTTGAGCCAGATTGCCTTTTGCACCCCATCGTAGAGAGAGCGATACTCCGCCTCAGTAGTGGAAGAGGAGACCGAAGACTGCTTCTTTGCCTTCCACGCAAGAATCGAATCACCCCATGTTACAAGATAGCCGGAGTAAGATCGCCTGGAGTCTTCACAATTTGCCCAGTCCGCGTCGGTGTAGATGCGAAAGATTCCGTCCCCTTCCCCTATCCTCACGGAAAGTTCTTTCGTTCTTGAAAGATATCGGAGAAGATGGAGATATGCCTGCCAATGCTTGATCCCGGGTTTTTCAAGATGTTGGGAGAGTTGAGAAACCGCAAATGAAATGTCAGGACGAGTTGCACAGGAAATGTAATTTATTGAACCAACCGCTCTGCAATAGCTGACTCCCAACTCGTCAAACCGTTCTATTTCTTGCGGTGTTGCTTCAACGAGGCGAGTGTTTGGGACCATTGGATTCGAAACCGGTCGACATGAAAGAAGATTGTATTCCTTCAAGAGCTCGTCGATATGCCTTTCTTGCGAGAGGGTGAGATGGTCTTCATGGCGTGTGATCCTCATGCCGAGAAGAGAGCTTGCAGGGCCGAGATCGTCCATCAGAAAACGATTGTTGACAAGTCGTTTGAATCTGTCCACGTCTTTGCTGATGATGGCCATGTCATCCACATAGACATGAACCAGACATTTCCAGTCCGGATTGGCCGACACAAACAGACAAGGATCGGCGACAGATGGGATGAAGTTGATGGAGTCGAAGAAGGAAGCGAGCTCCCCGTACCACACTCGAGGAGCCTGTTTTAACCCGTAGATGGATTTCTTCAGCTTTAGACAGTGTCCAGAAGGGACTGTAAGACCGGCCGGACAGCGAAGATAAATTACCTCGTCAAGGACCCCGTTGAGAAATGTGTTGCGCACATCCATCTGATGAATGTCGAGACCTTCGTTAACCCCAATTGTTAACGCTGCTTGGAGCGCCGAAGAGCGACCGGTCGGTGCGTAAGTCTCATTGAAGTCAATGCCTTCTTTTTGAGTGCTGCCTTGCGCAACCAGTCGAGCTTTGAATTTGATCAGATTGCCGCTGGCGTCGTACTTCTTCCGAAAAACCCATAATGACCCGAGAAGATGATGGTCCTTAGGAATGGGAACGACCTCCCATACATCTAGCCGCTCCATAGCAGCCAGTTCGACTGCTACCGCCTCCATCCAGGATGATGATTCAGGTGAGAGCAGGGCGGACTTGTAGGTTTTTGGGGTGGAGGGATGGGGATCGATTTCGGTTACCGACATTGCAAAGATCGCTTCGTAGAAGGGTTCGGCGGTGAGAATTTGATTCGCAAGGTGGGCGCGCCTTTGACGATTGATGATGTTATCGGTGTTGATGTCCGAAGAAATGTTGCGAGGAGCCGGTTGATCAGCCGGAACGTAGGAGAAACCGGGCTTAGGGTTGGAAGATGATGAGACTGCGGGGATCAGATCCTGCGCAATTTCATCTGCTGCGGAGTCAAAAGTCTCCTCGGAAGCAATAGATTCATTGGAACCGGGAATATTCAATGTTTCTGGAGGAGAAGTGGGTACTGCGGATGCGGAAGGGGACTCATCCTCTTCCTCCAGCAAGGTGAAAGTGGAGGGATCGGCAAGGGAGCCGGGGGAGATTCCTGGAAAGATAGCTTCGTCGAACACGACATCATGGCTGTACTCAACCCGGTTCCCCGCTGTGAGTATCCTCCAGTTGTGGATACCCTGCCGATAGCCCAACAAAATACCCCGTTTGGAGGTATCACCAAACTTTCCATCCCTACGCTCTTTCGGAATGTTGATATAAGCACGGCATCCAAACGATCGGAGTCGGGAAACATTAAAGTTAAACCCGAACCAAAGAAGATGAGGAGTAGACCACTTAAGCCGTTTCATGGGAGTTATATTCTCATAGAAAACCGCTGTATGCACGGCCTCCCCCCAGAGAGAAGAAGGCAAGTTTGCTTGCTTGAGCATAGACCTGGATTTTTCACTGGTTGTGCGATTACCTCGCTCAGCAATTGAGTTCTGCTGTGGGGTGTATGGTGCAGTAAGTTGATGCACGATGCCTTTTGATTTGAAGAAGGCTTCGAATTCATTGGAGCAGAATTCACCTCCACCATCGGTGACCACATTTTTGATGTTCAAGTCCAATTGGTTTTCTACTTCATTGCAATAGAGCTTAAAGAATTCAAATGCTTGAGACTTTGTTTTCAAGATGTAGACATATTTAAACGATGAGAAGGAATCGGTGATCTTAAAATAATAAAGACCCCCTCCAATGGTAGGTGGCGAGATTTTTCCGCTAAGATCCATGTAGATGTAGTCAAGAAGACCTTTCGGCTTGGGAAGAACTCCGGAAAAAGGGAGATGCTGAGATTTAGAGAGGCGACACGATTCACATGACATTGTCGAGTAATCAACTCCGAACATGATCTTCAGTGCTTCCGAACTTGGATGTCCTGCCCGCCTGTGCAGAAGAGCTGGATCAGTTTGTGTGATCCTCAGAGATCGAGCTGAAATCGACTGACCTTCGGGAAAGATGAAAGACGCTTTGATTGAGAAAACCTTGTCGATGACACATCCACTAAACAGGTGTTTCTTCGATTCAGAGTCGATGATCGAGAACTCGTTGGTGCCTTCTCGTACAATGTTGCATCCGGTAGTGAACAACTGACCAAAACTGATTAGCGGATTCGACAGATTGGGAACATGTAGAGCCTTGAAGAGGTGATATCCTCCGCTAGAATTTCTGAGTTTTACAAAACCGGAGCCGATTATGGGCATGGTTTTGCCATCGGCGACCGAAACCGAGGACGAGAAGTCGGTGTAGTTGTAGAAGTGATCTTTATTCGGGAACATGTGATCAGAGCAACCACTGTCTAGAAGAATAGTATCCGCCTTCATCGCAGAAAACGCTTGCGAGGGACGTAAACAGGAATAGGCTCTTGCCGGAGCTTCATCGTCTTGATCAGTTACAGCTAAATTAGCCTTCTTTGGTCCATGCTTTGCTTTGTAGGATGCAGGCTCGAGTTCCGGATGAAGTTGATAACATCGAGACCTTGAATGCCTCGTTTTGGGATTGTGCTTGCCACCTTCACACCATTCTTGAGGGGCAGCGGCCTTGTGAGCTTGCTCGGTTTTGATTGCCGGTGAGTCGCTAGTTGAGAAATCTTGATCCTTCGCCTCAAGGTGATCTTGAACGATTTTCAAGGTCAGAGGTCTTTTGGAAAATAAGATCTCCTTGGTGTTGTCGTAGCGAGAAGGGAGTAGGTGTACTATTTGCTTGGCTAGAAGATTTTCATTGACCGTTGGCTCCGTAGGCAGTGGGACACGGATTGTCATCCCGACTGCTCTCATTCGGGCGACACTGTTGTTGACCTGTCGAAGGAAGTCGGAAAGATTGGATTTGTAGGCAACGTCCAAGAATTTGATATAATTTTTAGCCTGGTTTTGAGTCGTTTGAGCCTCAAAATGGTCACAGAGCAGCTTCCACACGAGGTGAGGTTCTTCACGGTTGTCTTTCGTTATGAAGCGGGCACGGTGATCGGGACCCATTTGACCGTTAAGTACACCAGCTGCTATCATCTTCTTCTCTTCCCACGCATCCTTCTGAGCATCGGTAGCAGTGGCCAAGCGATCTGAAGTCAGGAATTTACTGAAACCTTTTTGCAGGCCGTATGCGTAGACCAATTCTTTCCATTCGGAAAAATTAGTGTCGGTGAGGATTGGAAGAGCGGAGGATCCGTGGTTGTCAGACATTTGTTTGAGATTGTTCGTTTGTGCGAGATAATTTTAGTTCCAGGGGCTTCTAAGCACAACCTGGGCTCATAACCTATTAGACAGTAAAGTCTTTTACGGTGATAGAGCAACGTTAGGCACAAGCTAATACAAGCGGTGACAACGGAGCGATGAGGCAAACCTTTTACGGTGATAGAGCAACGTTAGGCACAAGCTAATACGAGCGGTGACAACGGAGCGATGAGGCAAACCTAAACCAGACAGGTTGAGGCAAAGCGAACGGTGTGAGTAGTGAACAAGTTGAGATGGTTGAATTACTAGTGCTGGCACACCTTTTACGGTGATAGAGCAACGTTAGGCACAAGCTAATACGAGCGGTGACAACGGAGCGATGAGGCAAACCTGAGACCAAAACACTAGAGATGAGATCAATGAAACTTGAGAGAAAGAAAGAGAGAGAAACAGAAAAACGGACCTAAACCAGACAGGTTGAGGCAAAGCGAACGGTGTGAGTAGTGAACAAGTTGAGATGGTTAGAGAACCGATACAAGAGAAGCTAACTATCGGTCTTATAACAGGATCAACTAGGTTTACTGCGCAACAGCCGCGAGCTAAATGTTGTCTATCTAACTAGGTTTAATATGCAATAAACGAGAAAGAAAAGACAATATGAATAAAGTTACATGAATTTTCATCACGTGTTGCGAAGAGCAGAATGAACAGTCGTAGTGCACGTACCGTTAACATTGAGGGAAGCTCTACAAGCTGCGCTATAAATCAGTCAATCAGTCATCTCCATATGATCTTACACTGAACAGCTGGCTCAACTATGTAGGGTCTGTGTACACGGGAACAACAGAGAGAGAACCGAACTTGATCAGCATTTGATGCGATTTTTTCTTGCATCCATCTATCAAACAAGCGGTGTCTTACATAAATGTCACAGTTAAGGCCATGGAGAAATCGTAATCGCTCATCTGAAGATCTTTTTGAAGCCCTGGTATCGCATTTGAAGAGGCGATGGCAAAGTGGACTCCTGGTCAGCTCTTCAATCAAATATGCGCTTGTTTCCAGTGGCAGAAACAAAGTTGACGATGCCAGCTCATACCTACTATCCGCACATTGCCTGCATAGAAAAAGAAATGAGTATAACAATCATTCTTCCTCATACAATTGCCCAGATCTATAAACATACCAAGATTTGAGCGATCCAAGTAGCTAAAGAAGAAGCATAAAGTCACCATAGGAATGATACTACGAGCAAAAGACACCAGAGTGAACAGTTAATATTTGGCAGGTTTGGCAAAGCTGATGATTCCGACGGGGCAAAACTCACAAAAGGTCCAACTTGAGCAATGCGCGCCTTTCTAGCGGGGAAGTCCTGGCATCTGATAATCCAGGCTGCTCCTTCTGATTCATGGTTTGTCCCGGCGTCGCAGCCTGTTCTTCCTCTTTCATCATGAAGAAAAAAAAATGCGAACACAAAGACCCGGGCTCGTCCTACTTAGCCTGCAATTCGGTTGAGTTTTGCTTGTGGAGAGGATATCTGAGAATTTTGAGTTCACAGGAGATGGAATGATCATGCTTTGAGGGTTGCGCCAAACAGGATTGTATCAAACATGACAGCCTCCATCACAGTCCGCTCTATATACAATGAATCATAATGACCGTCCAAATGGGGCTTTAATTATAAGGCAACATCAAAATTTGATCATTTTGTGCGGGCAAAGTTGCTGATAAGTATCAGGTCATTTCGAAGCACAAGCTCCCGAAACTGAACAGCAGACAGACAGAGAGCAGCCCAAACTCAGTCATCAGAGCTCCCGGCTTTCTGGCACCCTGATCAGACTGGTACATAGAACACTCAGCGAATCAGGGAGCTTCGATCCGATGACATGTCCACCGGCCAGACTCAAACTAAAACTCAGCCTAATGAGAGTATCCGCGCGGGGTAGGCGCTCTTCTCGGCCAGAATTGGGCCAGACCCAACCAAGAGTCCACCCGGCAGACTGATCCGGTACCACGAGCAATCGATGTAGCTGAGCCCGCCCAGCCACTCGGGCACAGGGGTAAGCCATACATGAAGATCTTGCAATACGTGCAAGTAGCCGGAAAACACGTTTTTCATATTACACAATCGTGATTGTGACGACATAAGTGGGATGTAGAAAAGTACTTAATTCAGTGCGACGTTTTCTTATCTTTTTGATATCAGCGGCATGAAATAAGCTACAGGACGATGATTACCACCAAGAGCAGTCAGGCTAAATCTCTACAGCAACTTGCATGAAGTTCACGCGTGTGAAGCGCGACAATGAATGTTTCAACAGAAAGCATGCATGCATGCATGCTTGATTTTTTTTTTTTTTTTTTTTTTTTTTGAAATTACATCATCTAAACACCGGGAGACCTCGAAAAGCCTTGAAACAGTTGGAATTAATACTAATTTAGGCAGGACTTGACTGGGAATACATCATCGTAGAACTAAGAAACGTATATTGCTTGAGTGGTTGATCATTAATGTTGACTTCTTGGGCGCAAGCAATAGCCGAAGAGAAGGTATCGTTAAATGCGCGCGGAGATGAAGATGGTCCATCTACTTGAGCAATTCGATTCGATAAGTGATCAGGCCTTGCAGCTTCCTTGACCCCCCTCCTCTTCCTCTAACCTATACGCGGCTTTGATGTCCCATTTGCTCTGAGGAGACTTCGAGCTGACGTATTTGGTGAATGTAAGGATTTGCGGGTCTCTCAGGACGAGATCCAGTTTATTCCAACTGGGATGGATCGTCAACAGAGTCGAGTCATCCTCGTCTTCCCCTCCCTCAGATGGACCCGGACCTTTATAAACTGCAGGGTCTGATTGATCTTCATCGCTAGAGGTCATGTAGCAATCCCATCCGCCAACCTCGCCGTCCTCCCATCCCAAAGAAGGGGTCAAAGACATATGTACTTCCAGGAGTTGTTGATCGTTCGAAGTCGCAAGAGTGTAATCGAGACCAGGCCGAAACCGACGAGGAATCACATTGTGGGATGCTGGGATACATGTGGTGATCAGGTTGAGCCACTTGATGAAGGCATGACTTTGGAAAAGTGACTTCAATTTCAAAAGTTGCACTTTAGCCGAATTATCGCTATCTGTATTGGTATTGGACGGCGTTAGGTAGCGATGTTTATGAGGCGGGCCCACAAGCTGCCAATTAGTGTCGTCCTGGAGTCCGAGTTCAAATTTTGGTCCGTAAAAGTCTTTGGAGTACAATCGAGATTCAGGTGGATTCTTTTCGAGCGATAAGAGATCTTCGGCCTCATTCACAAGGATGGCCTGTTTGAGCTGACATGAGAATTCGTAGCCTAAGAATCCCATCAAACTAATGTGCGAATCCCTGACAAATCGATCCTTGAGCCTGACGATATCATCGATTTTCAGGAAGCTGGGGTCAATGAATTGACTCAGATACTTGAGATCACTTGAAGTCAACAACGACGCAGGTTCAGAAGGGGCCTGAAATCCGGTATCCACCCATAATGAATCATCGCCACCCTTCCCTTTCTTCAATCGAAATGGGGGGTGTATACAAATAAATCAGGTATTCTTCCCAAGCGCAAGAATGATAGTAGATCCTTACCAGTTGCTCTAAGCTTGCCCCTAGACTTTTGAGTTGCTTTTCCTCTTCTTCTTTGATTCGAAGTCCATCTACGTAGCCCGGTTCATCTTCGTGGGGTAAATGAAACCATCCAGAAATACTCAATCGACTCTTGTTCAAATTGAAAACTTCTTCGACTGAATGAAAGCTTTTCCCAGGTTGGACGACGAAGAAGACAAAATTATTCCAACTGGGTAATATTTTACAAGATGGGGTAGGAAGTGGTTGTCGAGTTTCTGGATTGACTGGATAGAGTTCTAGGGATCCACCATCTGCAGCTCCCCAAGGGATATCGGGGTCGGTTAGGTATAAGATATACGATACTCTTCTAGTTCCAATCACATCGTCATGATTCAGTAAATCTGTTCATTTTGGAATGAGCATTAGTATGGTGTGAAGATGATTGAATCAAAGCGGAGGGGTTATTGGTGCTTACGACAACCTTGACGGTAATTGTTGATAGACATATCAGTCTGTTTACCGGATAGAGGTCCACATGAAGTGACTTGATGGAGGAATTGACGGAATTCACTGGAATATAACGTATCTCTGACGGTTTTAACGTGTTTCAATTTTTTAGCTTCCTCTGCTGGTAGACCATCCAAGTTCGCCAGATCACCTGTGATAACGCCGGAGAGGGTTTGATTTGTGAGAATTGGTCAGTGAACAGCGTTATAAATCCAACAAATCGGACCATTTCTGGCATATAATGAGTTAGACACAAGCGTACCTGTTTGAAAGACCTGTTAGGTCCCGAGTTTTATGTGTAGGTTTGCAAGAGGCAAATCGCATTGATAAAAAAGCGCATGATGATGATGACCAGGTTCAGTAATCAGGAGCGGTCTGACCTTGTAGATATCAGTTTCCTTCAGCGAGAATGACAGTCCATTCCTAATCTCATCGCGTGCGCGTCGTAACAGTTGGTCATCGAAGATGTTCTTGAGAACTGAGTGTCGGTATGGGATTGACTGGTCGTGTTCGAGTTTCAGAGTGGGTGCTAGAGATTCCAAGAGGTTGTTTGAACTGAAGGCACTCGAGTTTAGCTGACTGTCTTCCTCTGGTTTCGTTGTTGCATCGTTCAGTTTTGCGCGTTTTGGGGGTTTACCATCGTCTCCTGGGCCATCGACACCAGTAGGGCTGAGAGAGCTTACATCGATTGCCATTTCTTGCGGAAAAAGTAATGGTTGTTTTATGGTGAGACTTACAATGTAGTGTCTATTTTTTTTTGGTCGGCGGTTGCACCACTCCGCAGCCCGATTGGATATGAATATGCATCGCGACCCGCCTCTTGGAGGAGCGTCATACTGAATATGCATGCACATGCAATCGGACCCCTCCGTGCGATGTGCCCCTTGGATCTTGAGAGGGGTCCGATCGATGGAGCCAGAGCACTGTTCGGACTCGGAGCTTCAATGGGGCTTCAACCATCGAGCATTTAGCTTGCTCCAATGAAAATGTGAATCAAGGTGATCATGCTTGCTGATGACCCATTGGTGAAAGGTGCTAGCAACAAAAAGGAAACTTGACTTTTCAATATGCGAGCAAAATCAGCTTGCCGATCGAGCTCAGATGTCAATGGTGCCGTTAATACGTGGATGTCTCCTGCATAAATGTTTTCACTGTAACCCGCAGGATTCTGTTCAAAATCCCATGATCGGTTGAACCTTCATCCCTTGCTGGCTTAGATCAATGGTAGATCGTCTCCCTCCTACTCTATCTTGGGTAGAGGAGAAGGCTGCGGGTTCGAGTCCCGTGGTCAGTGCGGTTCGCCGTTAATTTTTAATTTTTTTCTGTGGTCGGAGTCCTTGAGACCCACAAGGTAGCCATGCCGATTTTCGACCTCATTTCGACCGCAATCAAATGGACTCGGAGTGCTTCATATTCGGACGATTCTTGTTGTGGACATCCGAGACCCGTTGAACAGATTGATTTTGCAGAGAAAGAATCTGTTATGGATATGATTTTTGCAAGTCAGACAGAACAGACCTGGTCTCTTACCTTACTGCCACTGGTGTGTAGCCGTTTTCAAATGCAAAAAGACCTTACAAAAGTGACTGGCTCACATTCAAAATAAGAGAACTTCAGCATGCAAAACAACACATTGAATTGATTTTCCGATTTGCATAGTAGATCCAGCTATCCAATGTTGAGACTTACAGCCGGAATTCATTTTTGTACAATCTTCCCTCAAATTCAATCACATTTATGCACAATTCATTGAGTTGTGTTCTTAGTCTGTGGGCAATCCAACGAAAGAAAGATATAATGGAATGTTCATCACTTGGGTTTTGCCATTGGGAAATCGGGTTAAATTATTGTCAGTTGGGGTTCCCGACATACTGAGTTTTTTTTTCTGTCGACTCTTCACGAAGGAGATTGAGGGTGACAGCATCCAAAATCACGAATGAGAGAAATGAGATTGGGATGATGAGTAAAATTTTCTGAGATATTACTAGCTTAAGAGTGCATTCATCTCGATTAAGAGCAAGGAATTCTAAAACATCGGGTAAAGTAAAACTAATCGTGGGCGGTAAATCTAAATAGTACATTTTCGTTTTTTTTCTGTTGATACAACTCTCGGTCATGATGAGAATTTCGTTAGGGTCATAGGAAAAATGGGTTTTTTAAAGTTACAAGAGACGAGGATTGAGCTGGAAAACAGTAGGAATCTAACCAATCAGAAAAGAGCAATGAGTTTTTAAAAATTAAATTGTCTGAGGCTAAAGATGAGTGATTCTTTGGGTTTCGATTTGCCCAAGTGTCGTGAGAAGCAATCGCCCGTGTAAAGATGAAGGAATCAACCGAAGAAGAAACGAAAACTTGAAGCGATGAGATGAATCAGTAACAAGCAACCATGGTTTCGTTTTTTTTTATTCGAGCTCACCTTGAAAATGATGTGTAC